GATCTAAGCATTTAGAATGTGGTGGGGGAGATGTGCTTAACTAGCTAAGCAGGAGATATAAAGAGTATCACGATTAAAAGTGGAGCAATAGATAACACTAAGGGATCAAGGTAAGTCAATGGCGTGTAAGTGAGAACAGTATAATTGATAATTGGCAATGTGAAACTCACACAGTTGTAAGTGTTGATAAGGTTGCGCCCAGGAGAGTAGAGTGCGTTCTAATCAACCAGTTTACAGATGAACAGTGTCGATCGACCCAGTGAGTAGAGTAACCTGTCTAGTTCAAATAAAAACTAAAGAGATTTATATTCAACTAGAAAAATGTAATGCTACTTGGGAGGGTAAAAATAACTAAATAAGACGCAGCACTGAGTTCATTGTGTTTAAAGTGTATGCAGAGCTATTAATATGAAATCAGGGTGCGAGTGAGTTCACGAGTGCAGAAGAGTCAGTGGAACTGAGAGCATTATTGAGAAGTTGAACAAACTCATGTAACCCACTTGCCATGCGTATTTTTGAGGGAAGCCTATTCCATACAAGTGCATACTTAGAGAGGAAGAAGTTTTCTCGAGTTTTGGATTTATACTTCTCGAGTTTGACCGTAGATACTTTATCTCGAAGGTTATGTGTGCAAATTTCGTACAAATTTTGTACAAATTTTGACCCTTCCAGTTACACAAGATGTTTGAAGGGCCGTTGGAAATTCTTTAGGTAGGAGCGTAAAAGTCAGATGCGTCACATCTTAATGTCGGTTGACTTGGAACAGTCACGGTACAAGACTCAGAGACCGTGATTCGGTCAGTGGAAAGGCTATGCAGCTCGACTCATTTTTTTAGTAAATTTGTTTAAACACCCGAAGATATGTGCCGCTATGAAAGAACAATAGATGACGATGGAAATCGTCAAGCTCCCCTTAAGCGATGTGATAAGACTAGAAGGCAGATTGGCTTAGATCAGAAACGTCCACTGTCAGTTGGATATGAAGGTCATAATTCCAATGCAAACTTGTCTTGATCGCGGACTATGAAGTGAGACTGTAAGGCATGAAATCTTTCCGACGTGTTGAGATACACGTGATTGGAGATGAAATCGTGATATTCGTAAGCGCGCAAGTAAAACACCACAGAGCACCGAGTGAATCGGGATAAAAAATTATTCTGCCGTCGCTTCAACGAGAATGGCAATAAACACTCTGTTGAAAGAATATGGCGCCCCTGGTAGTTACCAGCATCCAGATAGATCGGACGGCGTACACGATATTGCAGCTATCATACTTGGGGTTTGACCAAGTATCTCTAACTGGAGAACTCAGCTCTGACTCCGCAAATCTCAGCAAGCACGACACAACCTCTGACGGATAGTTCCGTAAGCGCCTAAAGGAAGCAATTAGAAGATCTGGACTAATTGAAAATATGGGTGATGCCATGAGGTGATGAAAGGATGGAAAACCCTCAAAATTACATCACTTGCTAGCTGCAGACCGGATTCTAGTGTAAGATGTTGAGCTACAAGAACCCCTGGTTAGTGTTAATAATTATATGGTCGTCTTTAAAGTGGTCACAAAGGAGATAAGGGATGAACACTCTCCTCTTCTTACCTACAAAATCATGAGGAAGGACCTTCAACATGCTCCAGTGGCTAGAGGAGATAAACGATGGATAAATATTGGCGTATTAAGACAGTTAAAATGACGGTTCTACCATTATATTGAGCAGTATTTGAATCAGGAAGAACCTACATCTGTGAATGAAAGATCTTTCTGAACTAGTCATAAACAGATAGTAATAACTGACTTTTAGTCGTACGATTGGAAAACAGTGATTGGTGGAGTACCTCAGAGTGCAATTTTCGGTCCAGCATGATTCCCTTTTTATGCAGATTAACCTCTTAGTCTCTTGTCATAATCGATCACCATATATGATACAGGTCGCATATAATCCAAAAACTGGCAAATTTGTGTATAATTTTGTAACTGTCTGTCTGTAACTTTGCGTACGTCGTGCTACAATTTGTCCACCAAGGTATATATGCAAACATAGTGAGTATGAGCGAGCAACGAGTGGTCACAATACTGGGTACACTGTTATGTTATGACTGGTATGTTATTAATATATGGTAAGGCGTTCGCCTACAATGCCAAAGGTCCCGGGTTCGAATCCTGCGAGGAGCAGGAGTCGTGGATGCGCACTGCTGAGGAGTCCCATACTAGGACGAAACGGCCGTCCAGTGCCTCCAGGTTTCTAATGGTGGTCTAACAATGATGATTGATTAATGATTTCAGATTAATATATTTGTTTGAAATAACATTCATAAATACGAATTACGAAGACGTGTGACAAGTATGTTTGAAACCGTTTTATCTAGCAGTAACTTAATAAAGGGAAAGATATTAAACAGATAGTACGCGCACATTAGTAAACGATGTATCGTTGAGAATGAAACTGGAGAAAAAACCCAAGACTGTTTTCATGGTCAAAGGGTAAGAAAAAAATCTCATGGATCCAGAATCATCAAAGCCTCCTTCAAAACAAAGAGAGTATCACAATGAATGTCATCCAGTAGTGTGCATTCACTAACGATAACAATAAAGATTATATCGACTGTAGCCAATCGTAGAGAAGTGCACAGTAAAGAATTTGGCCATCCTAATGGGAGATCCAGATGCCGAGGTTGGAATAGAAAACACTAGATATGAAGATATCATGGACCGACACGGAGTGGGAGAAAGGACTTTGTAGCTGCCCAACTTTGAGATCAACAGTCCGAATTTCACGAGCATTGATTTTATACTAGCCAAAATGCGACTCTCCGGATAACTTTTGGATGATCAATTGAATGTTACTCATCGTGTAACTTTTCGACATTATTGACTTCGGGAAAGTATTTGGCACAGCGGACTGGAGAACATTATGTAGGCTTCTTCGACACTATGGTGTAACTGAGAAGACACTCAGCAGTGAACGGAATTCTTTTAACGAAATACTCTGAAAACCCGTGCAAGGAGGACAGCTCATTCACTCACTCTAAGAGAAGAACAATGTTGAGTTAAGCTGCCTAATCTCATCATTTTCACTTCATGTAACTGACCGGATTGTGAAGACGCCAACATTTCAGGAGAAATACGAAACGCAACCGGACGATTCAGACTTCTTAGATGACCTAGCTCTTCTATCTCACACAAGGCAACAAATGCAGGTAGACATGACCAATGGAGCAGTAACCTTTTCAGAAGTAGTCCAGAATATACGCAGGGGAATAAGTAAATTCCTTCACTGCGAAAGAGCGAGCAACAACCAAGCGAGTTCTGGGGATCTAAAATCCCCAACACTCCTCCCCTTTTCACTAGCGTGCGCTCCTGGGGTTGACTTGCATCTTGACTGTTGTTCGCCGCTGTCTGAGAGGATACCTTATGAAACGGAGAACAGCTTAATGCTGAGTTTCTTTTCGTTGTAGGGCTGCTGGTAGGTTGATTGTATCAAGCAGGATGTAATTGGGAAGATTTTCCGCTCTTGATGGACGATTAGGAGCTAGCCGTTTGCGTATCTGGTTTCGAAGGCGTGACCACCTTTTGCCTCCGACCTCTTCTTCGTACATAACTCTCCCAACTCTTCTGATCACTGGCGCCACTACCCAGGGACCATGATTTGTTCTGTAGTCACGGGCGAATACAAGGCATCCCGCTTCGTAATAGGGTTGCCTTTACGGCTCTGTCTCTGCTGTTGTTGGTGCATTAGTCGGATGCAGCAAGCGATGGATCGTTTTCAGTCTTCATCCCATCAGGATTTCTGCTGTGGACTTTTGCTCCGGCAACAACTCATTTGGTGTTGTTTGATAGACGTACAAGAAATAATGCAACGCATCGGCTGGCGTCCCCTCCCCTTTTGACTTAACCAATGATCTTTTGAACATATCTAACATCCCAAGCAAACAGAGTTCAGTGGCCCAGTATCTGATCTCTGTTTGGACAAAAAATCTTCCATCTTATTTTCATACACTCGGTTTCTTGGACGAACTCCGTTTGTGCAGCCACGGTATTCGAAAACTATTTTGGATGAATTTTTTCATACATTCGTGCCATCAGACAGACAAATAGAAGCATAAAAGCAAAGCGGAAAAGGCTATTAAGCCAAGTCAATGTGACTAGGCTTTACCAAGTATTTATAATCGGACAAAAATAAACTCCAAGCTTGATAAGCGAACTATACAGTGCAAACACAATTAAACGAATCCAAGATTTCAGGCGGATAATTAGCAGAGTCAGAGGAAGTGTGAATTAGAATTCGAGAAGGATGGGTAATTCAGTTTGTCCAAAAGCTAGAACAATCAATATGAGCTCCAAACATTAGCACGCACCACAATATGAATTGAATGAATAGCGTTTGTGAGTGTTTGCAAAGTATAGACGAGGAAAGTGTTGCTTCGGATATCCTGGCCAGAGGCCTAGGCTCCACGAGGGGTGAAAGGAGCAAGTAATTAACCCTGAATAATGATGATAAAAATATTTACATTCTAGCATATACACAAACTGTGACACGAGAGCGGTTAGTGAAAAAGGCCCCCAAACTGATTTGAAGTATGGCTACTGAACTATATTTGGGATAGATAACCATACAGAATATATATAAATAAATGGAGGCGGTTGTAAACGGGTTAGGGAAAGTCAATTAGTGATAACGATCTAGGTCTATACTAATCGTCCCTACTCTACTGATATTCCCATGGAATCGCTGATCAGTGAAACTCTCCAGTCCACCTCGTGGTTGGAGCTTTATCTGTGAAAGCATTCGAAAGAAACTTATCGGAACCGTCCAACTCCTATTTCCAGTACTAAAACAGTCTATTTCGGCCTACGTCCTTCCCAGCCACTATGAAGTAATAAAATGAAGTTGAACCCGTCAAAATACTTTAAACCGAGGCTTTATAGTTGACAATCATCGTAATATTCGGTTTCCCCAAATCCACCATCTGTGTTGTTTGAATGCCTAACATTTTGCCCTACGAATTGACCGCTGTGTTTAGGAACGAAATACGTCACTGAGTTTACTCGTTTCTTGGTATACCCGCACAGCAACTACCCTACCTAATGCATTAAAGTTCAGAGGATGCTACACAATCAAAATGGTCAGGGCATGTACGACCGTCAGTCGTTCCAACCCGAGAAGGAATTTGGTTATCCTGGTGCACCCAATCAGTACGTTTACGGTGCTACTAACGCAAATGTGATGGATGCTTATCCGCAAGGTCATCCCAACAGCAACTTTCAACCACCACCAAACTACTACCCTAGTACTCAGGGGCAGACATTTCAACCACAACCTCAGCCTCCATATTATTCTACTCAGCCAATTCAAAATGTGAATCAACCACCATTACCCCCAATGCCCCCTGTTCCGAACCAACAGGATTTCGTCCCCCGTCCTCAGCAGCCACTTCTCCCTCCGATGCCACCAATGCCTCAGAGACCTGGTGGAATTCGAGCACCTAGTTATCCACCGTCTCAGCCACCTGGTCCGTATCCGTTGCCAAATGGTGCTAATAACCAGATACATACATTACAATCTCAACAGGCACATCAAAATGGTCCCATATCCAGACAACCTCAGTTCTCTCAAAACATAAATGCGGATAGATTGCCCAGTCCTATTGAGGTATGAAAACTATGTTCAATTTTTAGTCTCAGTTATAAGTAAATCTCACAGTTGAGCTGCCATTTTTATCTATATTTACCCCGTTTTCTCAAGGTATTCAGAACTATCACGTATATCAATAGCTAACAATATTATTGGTGCATTTTTGTCTTGTTTGGCTGGTTTAAATATTGACACGAACCGTGGTTTTTCACTGATGCATTCGATGCTCTTGTAAAGAAGCTTAGATATAATAAATACTAGTTGAAGAAGTATAAAAGTAATCATGTATGTAACAGGTCACTTTACTGTTAAGCAACTCAGGTCCCAGTGAGTTGCCACATTTTTCGACGGAACAGCACATCAAAAATCAAAACAGTAAGACTGATTTCACTGGTAAAATTTTAAGTTGACAAAAGAATTGAGGTCGAAAAAGTAAAATAATACGATATCAAAACTCAGGTAATGAAAAGAAACAGATGGACATCTTTACGTCAGACAATGTAAGGTCTAGTAACCAACTACTGCATGCTGCTGGCCTCAAGTAGGATGTCTACGCCCTACATAATTCAGACAGTAGATCTAGTGAAATGGCTTAACTGTCTCATACAGCAAGGAAGTCTCATCAATTCCTTCAAATTCATGGCTAGAAGACCTTGGCATAGATGCTTGAGACTGGTCTTCGCCAATGCAGATGAAATGTCTATTCACGTAGTTTATATCTATATCTCGATTTTGTTTTTTATTTTTCACACTTCTCTTCAGTCTTTACCAATGTGGGGTGTATTAAGTTCAGTGTTATTTCCTATAGTTATCTCGTATAATTAACTGTAAAATTAATGGTGAACTTCTTTTGGTGGTTGCGTATCGACCGACTATTCTTCTGTTGCAGAATTTATGGACTATATTTTCCATTTTAGTTCGGGAATTTTGTTTTTGCGTACGTATTTCTAACAAGTTAAGATGATAGGGAAAATTTTTAGCTCAAGTGGATGATTGTAATGGAGTTTCGTTCTCTGAGCTGGATATTTTTGCTGTGGAGCTTTCATTGTTATTCTGAACAGCATCAGCATACACTCCAGGTAGAAGTGATGCATTCGAATTTCTCCATGTATGACTAGTAGCTTGTTCTGTTGACGTCGATCTTGATTCATCAGATGCACTTTCTAAACACCGAATTATTTGTCATACGTTTTGCATTTCTAAGTGAGGTAATTCATATAAACTAGATTAGTTAAGCTTATGAATAGGAATGCACACTTAATTAGAGCATGTACTGTTTATGGTCACCATTTTTAGTGGCTCTAAAAATTTTCATTTAATATGTAATACGATTATGTGGATATTAGCTATCAATATGAACTTTGTAAGAAAGAGATGTATCATTTCTATTGTTGATGTTATTATTAAGAATGGTGTTAAAAATTGTAATTAACATAACTAAAAGAAGTCTCTGGAGGTAGTTTTGTTGTATCTTAGGTTGATAACCGGATTGTTTTTGTCACTTTTAGCAGTCTTGTCTTATTTTCATCAGATACTATTATGTTTAAGAACTTTTCGCATTGCCGTTGGCGATAAAATTTAAAAATTCATTATCTTTTATTTTAGTCTGATTCTTTCTAATATGCCTATTGCTTTACTTTTGTTTAGGTAATCGAAAGCAATCGGAATCAGTGTACTGGACCTTTTTATACAGGACAACGAGGTGTTGTGCCTCCCTTAGTCACAACTGACTTCGTATCACGTGACCAGGGTATATGTGCACCTTGTTTTATTCGATCTTCACTATACTCTGTGCCAAACTCATCAGATCTTCTTAAAACTGTTGGGATCCCTTTTTCACTTACAATATCTCCATTCGCAGTGCAACATCCCGAAGATATGAATATTGTAATAAGTGATATGGGCCCACAAGTAAGTTGATGTGAAATAAAAAAATACTGAAATTTATGATGTAGTGGTCTAACTTATTGGTTAATAAGTGTACTTAAGTCCTCACCTATTGTTGATGTTTATATAAGGAGTTACGGAATATACTGGTTGTTTGTAGTGTACTTGATATATTAAGTTTTATATAGAAACAATTAAAGAAAGAACTGAATTTGTACCTTGAAAATAAATTTAGTACTGACAGGCATCTATTTTTTTAAAATTATGATTTAATCAGTTTAAATACATTTCTATCTGTTTACATAAAATAATTATTTCTTTAGATGTTAAAAAACTGTTAGGGATTTGTTTGTTTTCACGCTTAACGATGATAGCGTATGCTAAACGAAACCTTTATTGCTTTGTGTTACAGTATTTTGTTAAGATGTAGGCTGATTTTGTTAGCACTTGAGCTCTCAATGGTTGAACTAAGATTGTTCATTATTTGACTAATGCATCTAGTAGGTCAAACTTAATTATAAGCAAGACACATCAATGTAAATGTAAAATTTTGCCTAATAGAAAAATGACTTATGCAAAAAATTATGGGTTTTTTGAGGATCTCTCAGGAGTACAATACTTCATTAGAGTTAAAAAGGATAATATTTGTGTAAGAATTTAAACTTGTGTTATCTCTTAAACCATTGCCTAACTGTTGTAAAGTATTCAGTATAACTCATCCACCAGGTACAGTTGGGTGTATTAGATCTTCGTTGTGTATTAGGGTTAGTGAGGTAGGTGGTAATCAAACCATTGGATACAGAAGTTGTTTCTTCCAATAAGAGCAGAAAGGAGTTAGAATAAATAGGCTTTTGAAGTGGTACGGCTTACCTTGCCCCATGGATTTCTATCCCAAGCACTAAGAACCTATCAGAAAGGAGCTAGCAAATCAAGAACACACAAAAATGTCATTTGACTGACCCCAAGCAGTTGTCCCGTGAACTCTGCAGTCATACCTCATCTTCAGGATTACTGCTTATCCAATCTCCTTTTCGGGTACTCTAAGAAGCATCCTTCCATTGCATGGAAAACCCGGTAGTACTAACAGCCGCAACACGTCTAAGAGCACTTGAGATCACCTTGTTTATAACGAAACCCCATTTCCACTACTAATTATTCCTATTCCCATCTAAGATAATATTTAAACCTTCAACTGAGCGATTAAACCTTAAGTTCAAAGTAAGCGTACCATCTGCTCTGTTTTTAACGCTATTTTTATCATAGGAGTCATGCTCTGGACCAACATCATTAGTTTAAATTGGATATATGTAATAGTCGTTGATAGTTCCGGTAAAAATTAATCACTCCCCAACTCGATTCCGGACATCATACTTTGTGTAATAAACAATGGAACTAAATGATTGTATCATTGGTGATTATAATGGTGCTATGTGAAAAATTCTAGCAATTTGTAACAATAGGAACGACTTACTTTATTCAGACTGCTTTCCTTCGGTTAGTTTACATACTTGTCCTACAGTCAAATTTTTATTATAAAAAAGTTTTCACTTTAGTTTTATATAAAGCTATCTAAATCTGTAATAGTTTAAAATCTAATTGTCTTATTTTAATAGGGCCCAGTTCGATGTGTTCGATGTAAAGCCTATATGAATCCTTTCATGAATTTTATTGACGGTGGTCGAAGATTCCAATGTCCACTCTGTAATGGATTAACTGAAGTTGCCGCTGAATATTTTGCTCATCTAGATCATACTGGACATCGAGTTGATGCAGGCCAAAGGCCTGAACTATGTTTAGGCAGTTACGAATTATTAGCAACAGCGGAATATTGCAAAAACAACCAATTACCTTCACCTCCAGCCATTATATTTCTTCTAGATGTCTCTCAATCTGCTATACGTTCAGGTTTGGTACAATTATTCTGTTCCCAATTTATCGAACATATTCTACCAAGTTTACCTAGGTAGGTGGTAAAGCAACAATACTGTTCTGATATGACAAACAAGATTTAAGCCTGTTTAGCAAGATCTCAGTTTAGTATATATGTGTGTGTGCGTTAACTGATCACTTTTGTTTCGAGTGACATTCATCTTTGTGGTTAGTTTATTTTGTACACAAATGTCGTTTTAGTAAGAAGAATGCTCATTCTGGTGGTAAGGATAATTTATTAGTTGCCCGCGATCTAACTCCAATTTTAACGAATATTTATTCATGCTATGCAATAAATTTTCCCTTAAACTTCCTTATATCGGACTTAGGTAAACCCCGACGTTGGTTATAAGAAATCAAATACGATATTGCGGATAAATTCATTTCATGCAGTCGTTCACACAGACGACAGGCACTAGAATATGGAGCTTAAAAGCAAAGTGAAGTGGAGTAGTTGACTGAGCCAACTCAGTGTGATAAGGCATGACTAAGTATTTTTAGTCATACAGAATAAGCTAGACACGTGATAGGCAAAGTAAGCGGCACACACATTCGTATAAAATCAACCAAGATATGAGCGAATAATTGAAAATGTCAAAAGGAGTGTAAATATTGACTTGATAAGAATGGAAATAATTAATTTGTCCGGAGCTCTGTGGTCTTGATATATTTGTTCACACACTACAATCTTGGTGAATTTTGCGTTTAAGGCGTACGTCAATTAATTTTGTATCGTGACTGTTCATCAGTCAATAATATCGTATTGTCGTGCACAGTCCTATCTATCGTCGTGACTCGAAATAAGTTCATAATAAATGCATCAAACCTTTCATAGTAGATTGACATTGAGGCTGATCAGTCATCATTAACACGGAGACTGGCAGTGCGGTGGTCCAAGTTACCATAAGATATAGTGGTATTAAGATGAATCTGTCTTTCTTATCTTATTCGTCAATAGCAACACATTAGAAGCATCTACTGTGTGTAATTATTGAGGTCAATAAATCATATTACAATACTATCGATTAGATCCAAAGGTTTAAGATAACTCAGTACCAGACACTAGGTTAAGTATTTTTTTAGAATTGATTTCAGTAGATTAATTTTCAGTTTGAACTGCTCCATTTACCATACTTCGCAGTCTTTTATGAATCATATTTCATTTTTAATTATGACTAAGATTTTCATACATTTCATTTTATAGAATCTTTCAAAAGGTTTACTGAGGAATTTATTACAATGTTGTATTATTTTTATTATAGGGAAAAGTTTGCATCACCAGATAGTGTTAATCCAATTCGACTGGGATTTATCACATATGATCATCAACTTCACTTCTATACTGTACCTCGTGAATCGTCACCTACCGAACAAACATCTGAATCGAACGATCAAAACACGTATTATTCTTATGGTAAACCTCAAATGTATATTGTAGCAGATATTGAAGATGTGTTTGTTCCTGCAGTTGAAGGTTTCCTAATACCACCGGATCCTGTTATCATTTCTAGTATTTTAGAAATGATACCGACTCAATTTTGTACAGAGAATGCATTAAGTAGACAACCTACAGATGGTGTATTAGGTCCAGCTATTCAAGCTGGAATGGAAGCTTTACGTGCTGCAAATCGTTCAGGCAAATTGTTTGTTATGCATGCTAATCTACCAGTTGGTGAAGCACCAGGTAAATTGAAAAATCGAGATGATCATCGGCTTATAGGAACTGAAAAAGAAAAAGTAAGCATTATTTTTCATGTTTCCAATTGTATTAATTTCGTCAATTATTACAGTTATTGTTGTTTTCTCTCTTATTATCTAAGATTATAGTTTCAGAGTTAGTGTGTAAAATCACAACTAAGATTACCTGTGTGAAATTTTGTCTATTCTAAATTATGAGTTTGAAATAAAAGTTTTGGTGTGTACACATGACTAGTACGTATAAAATGTCCTAAAATACATGCTCTCATATTGTACGACGACGGAGTGAGCAATGCATTTGTTAAAAACATCAGTATCGTCTAGCATCTTGGTTCGTTCACCAGTGCTAATTGGCTGAAAGCAAACTAATCAGCATGCTGCGATTTGAGTTGGGACATTATCTCGCTAATAGTGCAGTCTTGAAGAGCTCAGGGTTTGACATAAATGTGCCTAGAAAAAAATTCTGATAGGACTCTAACTTGTGGATGAACTAACCAGATTTAAGGTAGCACCTCTCTGGTTTCTGCCGAAAGTTAATCTCTATTCTTATGGGATTACTGCTGATGTCAGTTCATGATGAAAACCCATCCCCTCGTAGGTCTTTTGTGACCTACTTCTATACTGGAAAAAGTCTCTCATCGATATTTTGGATGATAGTATGCAGTACATTTCCAAGTGCTTTCTTCAGTGACGATTGAGGACCTTATCAATTGATTTATCAAATTTGTTGTCTCCTAATGTAGCCTTAATTTTTTGTCATTGTATTCAGAAGTATTTTTTTAAAAACGCAATCAGAGTCGAGTTAAAAGATCTTATTTGTTTATTTTGAAAATGTTGAACCGTGCGAATCAATTCAGATTTTAGCTGCCTAAAATTGCACTTCCAGTAGCTAGTTCTGTTGGTCACACCCATAAAGATTGTTTATACCTGATTGTCCTTATTGTATCTGGGGAGTAATGTTCAAACTACTGATCAGTTGACTAGTTATTAAAATGATTAAGAAAGTGTTTGTCTATAAGGTATTTGTATGTATTTACATGGAAAAACAGTTATTCCCTATCACTGATTGTCTGAGGTTATAGATGTAGACTATTCAATATCATTAAATAGTTTACAGGTTAAGTTTTTCGTCAAACCTATCTAGTCTCTGATAAGGTTGGGGATGTGCACTGTTGAAGAGTTACACATTTGGACGAAACACCTGTCTAATAATTCTTTTTTCTAACCGTTGGGTTACGATCTCAGTAACATTCAACAAACTCTACAAATTCATATCGGCTAGGAAATTGTTAACTGCTAGATATTTCTACTTCTCACTTATTTCTAACTTAAAGTACCCTTAATCAACTTAGTCAACTATCTTCATATACCTTCAAAGAAGGTGGCTGAATGGTCGAGGTGTTTGAATTTCAGCCACTAGATTGCAGGTCTGAATCCTACTGGATCAATGCCTGCCTGAGCAAAAAGAATGTACTATCAGCAGCTCTCATACTAAAGGTCTGACTGTACCCAGTAATGAATTGATATTTATTCTTCCTATATTGACAGCCGTATAAATTATTCTTATTCAACTTTTATTAATGAATTTATTTTTGTAGACTTTGCTTCTTCCAGATAATGATTTTTATGTTGGTCTTGGTCAAACATGCATAGAAGTTGGTTGTAGTGTAGATCTCTTTCTTTTCCCCAGTTCATTTGTCGATATTGCTTCTTTAGCTGAAGTGCCCAGATTAACATCCGGTCGTTTATTCAAGTATAACTGTTTCCAAGTAAGTTTTCTGAAAAAATGTATTCTCTTTTATCCTTAACTAATTTTAATGTGTTTACAATGGTAATTGGTTGAAGTTATTAACAGTAACCTAATGGTTAAAATGTCTATCTGAAGTTTGTACTGATGATGTCGTTCAGAAGAACAATGAAAGCTCCATAACCAAAACAACCAGCTCAGAGAACGAGACTCCATCACAATAATCCACTTGGGTTAAAATGTGTTTCAACTATTCGAGTTTTTGTTGTGTTAGGTGTTTGTGCTAAATATGTTCAATGTGCAGTAGATCAGAAGTTGGTAAATTTACATAACAGTGACACAAGGAAGAAGTTACTATGCTTAACCTTTTGAATATATGATCAATAATATGACTACGTGTTGTAAAATCCAGACAAATGGCAATCTAGACCATCTTTGATGATGTTAGCTAGCTGTAAAAAGTCAGGTTTTTTTTTTAGTTTAAACATATAAATATTAGTACAAATGGTACATCTAAGTATTTATGCGCCACACAAATTATTGAATTAATAAGTGGGTCGGCATATTGCTCGGATGCCCTAACTGAATCAAGTGGTTTTCTTAGTCATCCATTTACTGAGACTTTGGATAAGAGGTCTAGTAATGAAGCAATGTCAGAAGAGATGTAGTCCCATGACATTCAATCACCGATAATTGGTTCATACACCATTTACTCCCTCATGATACTGGAACCTTTGGGCACCATTAGTTTGGGATCAGGGTTTTCTGACTCCCGTAGGTGGATCATCCATTTCCATAAAATCGGTTAAAACGCCGAACGTTCGCTTTTCATATCAGTTTCGTAAATAGCATCTGTGCCACAAGAATGCAGTGAGTAGGATTTCTCTGGTAGCGGGTACATGCATATAGCTACGAGGAAGCGATCTCTTCCCACTCTCAACCATTCTAGGTCGTTTGGGATAAGAGTCAGTTTACAATATACCGATGAAATAATTTATGTTTTCTGTCTATGAAGGTTGACCCTTCTGAGCATAGTTTTTTTCGGCGATTTTCTGTACTCAGTCATCGTTGTATTAGAAAGATTGCTCACATTTGTTGGCAACACCCAGGAAACTGAGGTTGCATTATTGTTCTGAAATTTTATAAAAAATGTGTATTCTATTGTACTTCAGATGATTTTCATTATATTGAACATTAGCTTGTCACTTTTTTATACCTTATATAAGCAAATGGGTAAAAATATGATAATCTCAGAAAGTATTCGTTTATTGTTTGTTATCTCAACGTTAAAGATGATAATTTTAATCATAATTGAAATCCCCTAATGCCTCGATACAACCAAGAGTAGGGAAAGTCCACCTTCCCTCTCAAAATGCTTTCACACAATTGTGCATTTAATATCTCTGTCAGGAAAAACTAATCATTACCTTTAGGAAGCGGTCGTTTATTTACAAAAGTTTGGAAACAAAAAGCGAACATCTGACGTTTAGACCGAGTTCGTGGACTTTCGCAGTTTACGCAAATTTGTTAAAAAACATGTCTTCTAGAGTCAAAAATTTGATTTTATAATTATTATTTCATAATATAGGCAAAATAGGGCAATACAAATTTCTTATTCCTACCACTTACAGGCTGACCTTCAAGGTTATCAGTTTTTAGCCGATCTTCAACGTACTCTAACAAACTTACAAGCTTTCAATGCTGTTATGCGCGTTCGTACAAGTACTGGTATTAGACCTGTTGAATTCTTTGGTAATTGTTACCTACCTAATACAACTGATATTGAGTTGGCTAGTGTTAGTGCAGATATGGCAATCACAGCAGAATTGCGTCATGACGATAAACTTCAAGAAGGTGAACTTGTATTCATCCAGGTGAGTTGTTAATGTTGGGAATTTTATTATAAAATTTATTTTTGGAGAATACTTTAACGGAGTTTGATTTGAGGTGATCAATCATAGGTGTAACATTAAACCGGGCACATAAACGTATCGATTCAAGTTACCACACCGTATCAACACAGCGAGATTAATTCAGTAAGAAAAATGTCAGAGATGCAGAGGTAGTAGCAGTTATCATTGACAATGGACAACACTAGGCACAAAATATGGGAATCAAAAAGGAAAAATAAATTAGTGGTATAGAAATTGCAAGATAGTTTAAAATATTTGAGGGGAGTCTGAAAAGTAAGTATATGTACACCATTATGACTGATTTTGAGCCATGTTAAGCAACATCTACAACCATTGGTTGCGATAATCACTGAGAACCTACCTAGGTGGTGTATTTATTAACATGGTTCAGTTCATGAATTCGTAGGTTGTTGTCACATCTTGGTTTGTCCATCCTTCTCTTCTAACTTTACTCCCATTCCAACTAATATTGAACTTGACGATATGCTCTGTTTGGACATATGTGACACGTTTCTCAACTACCTCATTCGATAAAGGCCCACTACTACATCAACCAGTTTGCTGTCCTTACTTAAAACCCTTTGACTAACCGCAGCATTACCCTCTGAACATACACGAGAAATGGTTTAAAGTCATCTGTGGTCAGATACCGGTAATCTATGACTTAAGATATCTGAAGTTATGTTTACTTAGTATGTTTTTCATTAGTTTATCGTCTTTGGTTTATAAGGTAATCATTTTAACGATGACATTAAAATTTTTTTATCGTTGGGATTTATCAGACACTAAATGAACACTATCGGGGTCGTTAGATACCCAGAACTCACTTGGAAAAGGTCCTAATTTTGTAATTTTATTCTGAAATTTTTCAGATTTTATGTTTTCGCGCCAGTTGACCTTCAGCTTACATTTCCCACTCGAAGAATCCTTGACCGTCATTGGTTGATGGATTATTTTAGTACGCTGTTTCGTGGCTCTCACCAAGGACGTTTTATCATTGTATAAATAATCTTGATTTGTGTGCTTACCGACCTCATATTTTCTTGGTGCTTGTAGAATACTTTCTCTACTCCTTATCAAAACTTGTTGCTCTAGTTAGCGGGGCCTGGGACAGTCGGATTAGAATAGCCTATCGTGTCACTGTATCGTTGATCTCCGTTCCGTTTACCGAGTAGGTAAACTCGTAATAGTTTCAAGCATATCAAACATTAAGTGGAATAACTTATATACTCGGATGAAGTGTAGTAACGTGACGATTAAAGTATTCAGGTCGCGGGCTCGAACCTCGGCCTGTTTACTTTAGACGTTAAGTATATCACTTTCTTAATAAACCATCTGTTTTCCTCTGTATCGAGATGAGAGATAGACTCGGTTGAAATGGAGAAATGTGAGTGCATAATTGTGTGCTCAATGTTTCACCTGATATTCTATCCCTCCTCTTGGATTTCTTGTAGTTGAACCTATGCAACTAGACTCATTTTCCTTTCAAGTGGTAAAGATGATACGATGGGCCTATTTCACATTATTGACCAGATAGATGATAAGTGTATGCGACTAATGAAAATGTAACTTCTTTTTTCTAACAGGTGAAATACATCTTGTCTTTGAAAAATTGCGGCTTATATTTCTAACTAACATATGTAAATATACACATAAGTGTATAGTTAGTTTAAGATTCAGCTGATTGACAAAATGTTTCTCTTTTGTTTAGGTTTGTTGTATTACTATTTCTGATAAATAAGTAGTAATAATAGTAGTAATTCAACTTGAAATAGAGCTTAAATTATCCTATTATTGATATTTTTGACTGAAATTTATTCAGTTTTATTTGGTCTATGAGCATCCTAAACAGATTACTTTGATATAGCCAACACCAGTTTATGTTGATTAGATAGAATGTGTGACTAGCAGTGGAATCTAAGATGTGTGCTTCTCCTTTTTTAATTTTTAAGACTGGTTAGCTGGATATATCTGTATATCAGCGAGTTAAGGTTCACTTTTGGTGACAATATTACAATATATTAATCTTTATTTTTCTGTCAACACTTCTAAATTGATTTTTTTGAATCTACATGTCACATTAGGTTGCATGTCTTTATACTTCATTATCTGGACAACGAAGACTACGTATTCATAATTTATCAATTCCAGTGACAACTATGATACCTGATGTATTTCGTCTTGTTGAATTAGATGCACATATGAATTGGTTAAGTAAATATTCAATGCGTTCTTTACTCAATCGTACACATTCACAAGTAATCGATGATTTAACAACAAGAGCTGCAAATACTTTAGCTGCTTATCGTCGTCATTGTGCTTCTGGACCGAATGATGTGAATTCCAATCCTGGTGAATTAGTATTACCACAAAATATGAAACTATTTCCATTGTATATACAATGTCTAATGAAAACGGAAGCTTTTAGTTCTGGTTAGTTGCGTTTACTGATTGATGAATTGCTTGATTGATAAATTATTGTTATGATTATCTGAATTACTTTGAAGCAATTCACCTTGTTGATTGTTTTTTTTTGGAAAAGGAAAGATACACTGACTAGGTTCTCTTTCATTACTATTATTAGTACCAGTATGAGTATTAGTATTATTAGTTCCTGAGACTTGGCAGTGTCTACGGTTTGAGATGCAATGTATGAACAGTTAGATTAGCAAGAAGCCAATGTACCTGAAATATCATACTCTCTCTAGTCTCAATTTTCATCATTAGAAGTGATGAACAACTTTGAATTTGATTCTGTATGTATGTATGTTGTAGAAACTACAATAATCAGTGACTTATTGCAGTTTGCCAAAGTTTTTTATTGCTCATTGTAACATCTAACAACTTTGCATAAGATCAAACTTACCACTTCCAAGTTTCATGGTTGTCAGGTTACTTTTAAACTCATTAACTTTTAATTCGGTGTAGTAACCTTCGTGGTCCGAAATCTGAGAGAATCCTAAGCGCTGTATTTTGTGTAACGACATTGCTGTTGTACACTGCTGTAAAGTTCCTATCTAGAATAAAGTGAAGATTGTCTAGAACAATTTTATTTCGGATTTTAGTCAATCAGTTACAACGTAAAACTTCGTACGTACGTCCATCAGTTCACGTTGCCATATCACATTAGCACACTGAGACGCGATTGTCAATTCGAATCCCTTAGGGATCGAAGAATAAGTAATAATCCTGAGAAGTAAATTTAAAAAAAACAAGATAGATAAATAAAGGTGATAAAGAATTCAGGCGACTAAGGTTTGTGAGAACACAAGGAGTGGATGCACCTGCGCCATTGCAAACGATTTTTAGCCATGTCATTCAAAGTCTGCAGTTTTCAGATCTATTGGTCTATTGATCGATTCATTCTGTTGAATACATAATCGTTTTAATTTTTATTATTATTATTAATACCTTTTGTATTTTCAATTCAGCTGACGGTATCACAATTGACGATCGTTGTTGGCAAATGTTTTTGGTCAATCAAATGGATGTGAAACAATCCAACTGTTATCTTTATCCTCATTTATATCCGATTGTATGTTATTGATTGTAATTTTTATCATATATATAATATATATTAACGTATCGATTCAGAGCGGGGACCTATTGATTAAAGCGCTCGAATCTTAACCACTAAGTCTCAGGTTTAAAATCCACTTTATCTACTTTGATTCACCCAACTGGGTATATACCATTTAACCCTTACACTTAAAAAAGTGTGACTCGAAGCCATTTACGCTAATCTATGCTTGTTTGACTATGAAATACCATGGATAACTGATTGTTTTTTCTTGTTTTCACCGACTACAACAACCAGTATTTATAGCGGTTTCAGGCACTACATCCACACACACACACAGCTAGCAGCTGATGTTGGTTAATCGACCAGTATTGTTGTTGTTGTTTAATGATTTTTACTCATTTCGGCTGAGCATTTCTGTTATAATGCTGCTACGTAGCTATTCAAACCCTACCGACGTCCGAATTCTAATATTCCAATACGACCCAAATACTATCCCCAAATCTCCTATATATCAGAACGCAACACCGTTGGATGGAGTTGTTTATTGGGTCGAGTACAGAAGAGAGGTAGGCAGGAAGGAACGGAGTCGTTAAGTCTTACAGATAGTGCGTATTTATACATTTAGTTCGAATAGGAAAGAGTATCGAAGTCTGTAACATTGACAGTTAAGACAACCAATCAGAGACAACATTGAAGGTAAGAGCATCAAAGTCTGTGACATTGAAAGTTTAAGACGACCAATAAGAGACAGACAACATTGAAGTATTTGACTTTGACAGTTAAAACGACCGTATTTTCGACCAATAGGATTATACTTCCAAAAATAGTACTCTTAGGATATTTGGTGAATATCCTAACAATTTCATCACAGTCTTGTTGTTTCTCATCAACATTCATTGATTGATTGATTTTCTAGTGTATAGTGGGAGCAATGATTTAAAGTTGATTTGGATATTTCTTCAAAATTTAATCAACAGGTGTCCTATGTGCACAATATTCTCCATGTACTTTGATTGTTGAAACATGATGGTAGTGCTCCAGATTCGTATTATTTATAATGTATATGTGATCATTAATCGAGGCTTGTAAACAGTGAACAACTAGCCAAACATATAATTTTCATCTATTTATATTTGTAATGTTTGTATCACATGAATGTTTCAACTTGATAAACTGTTTGCTTGGTGTGTTAGTCATTGAGAAGGATAAGAGTTTTAGGAGGCATTATATTTTGGTATTTATTACTTTTTGTCTTGTAATCTTTACCTAAGTGATCATCATCTCATTTTTAACCTGTTTAATACAAAAAAACTTTTTTCAGCATGATATTTCACTGAATTTCGAAGGTGACATACATTATCCTCCTGCTGCTATACGCTGTTCATATGATCGTTTACAAATGGATGCAGCTTATTTATTGGATAATGGAATTTATCTTATCATGTGGATTGGTCCAAATATTTCCACAGAATGGATTCAATCGGTGTTCAATGTTCAAAATCCTAAGCATTTTGAATCAGATAAAGTAAGACAGTTGGGTATACAATTGAAAAAATATTTATTTTCATTTCAAAATTCTATTTAGATAAGTGACTTCAGTGCATTACTTCCTTTTTTTAGAAATTTTTAGAAATTCCACTTCACTTAACCTCTAAGAGAATGATCTGCCATTAGAAGGTTTCTAGTACAGTGACCCGTGCTCTGTTACTCTGTGGCCGTGAAACATGGTCTCTGAAATTGAGAGACATGCTTACACTGAGTGTTTTTGATCTCAGGTGTTCTTGAATCATCGTCCGTTTTGTGAGACGTCTGAGTGGACGATGCTAAGAAACAAATATTGTAACAATTGTATTTAGTTTATGGATTATCGATTAACTCACTACTATCGTACCACTTAGCATTCCCAATCTGTTGCCAGATGATTACTTATTTGCAGTCCTGCATGTAGACCAAGTATGTTTGAAATTCAATTGTAAAGTAAAATAAAGACTGGTTCCTACTTCTGGATTCAAGGCAGGACATTGATAGAAACTTGGGAAAAGCAAATCACTTGGAATTTAACTGCATTGGCTAAAGGTCAATTTTGCTAGCCGGATGTGTAGTTGATCAAGTTGGGGACATTAGGCTGTCGAGGAAATAATAGATATGGAAATCGATAAAATTTAGGATTATGCTTTTGATTGGTTACTTGGCCCATAAAACCGTCTTAAGACAACAATAATAGTGCTGTTAATCTCCACTCTCTAAGGTGGCTAGGACACTTATGGTGTGTGCCTAACCATTGTGTATACCTCGAAATGCAATGTTTGGTGGTGTAGGAGTCTGAGCAGTGTAGTTAGTTGCTGGCTATCTGGTTGAATTGAACGCGAATTTTTTAACCAGTGGTTGGAAGTAGTGTGCAACTCGACTTGAAATCTGTCTCAGTGGTGCAAATGTATTCACTAGTTACTAGTTAATCGCAAAAGTATCTTCAACCTTTATTCGTTCTTTCTTCTCCAATCATCTTCATTCATCATCTCTATCATTATTAATTGTATACGTCAGTCAGTCAGCTACAACGTAGAACTTTGTATGTGCGTACATCAGTTCAGGTTGCCATATCGCATTAGCACAGAGACCCAGCTGTCAGTTCAAATCCCATAGTGGTGGAGATAGTAGAAGAATTAGCGGCATTGGAGAAGATCAGAGATCGAAGATATTATTCAAGAAGTATAGTTTAATGAGATAACTTGAGAAAGAGGAAGATAGAGATGATGAAGAATTTGACAGGACATAGAATGGATGCACCTGCGCCATTCCAAATGATTTTGAGCCATGCCGTTCAAGGTCTCTCACCATCGGTTACTTTCGTCTTGGAACTCCAACCAGGTAACCTTCATCTACCAACATGATGCATAATGTATACAATATAATTGTATACCTACTATTCTGGGATTTATGTTGATTAATTTACTCTCATTGAATACTGATATGGTGTGGCAGCCTAAACTAATTGAACTTGTTGCATGCCATAAGATTCTATGAATTTTTTTGATGCTTTATTAACAGTCTGTGCCAATTATCCGTATAAATTCAGTGAGTAACTGCTGAAATTAAATTATCGAACGACTTCAATTGTCTTTCGGTAGTTATTGAGTCACAAAGCCGACCTTATCTGTGAATATGTTTTGAACTTTCGAATGACTCGGTTTATACACAGCTATAATAAGAATATTTATAAGAAAGCTGATTTTCGTGAATAAAATTGATTGCATATATTATGGATCAGTGCTTTGCTACTAAATGATGGTTGCGAAATCACGTAGAAAAAGTAGTTAACTTACTATATTATATCGAGTTCAAAAAAATCGTTAAATGTTCTTATATGTTCTAAACTACTTATTGATTTATAAGTAACATAATATTTTTGCCTATATTTTGTTATGCTGTTTCATGTTCCCCATTATTTAGATCTATGACTTGTGTAATTTCGATAATGAAACTTCACGTAATCTGTGTACATTGTTGAGAAAAATTCGTAAATATCATTGGCATTACTCTCGGGTAAGTTCTGTTTTAAACCTAATTTCTCACATGCTATGAAATAAATCATCCCTTAAATTTCCATGTGTCACACTTAGGCAAACCCCGTTTGAACGACGTCGGTTATAACAAGCCAAATACGATATTGCGGATAAATTCATTTGATACCATATTTCACACAGACGGCAGGCACTAGAATACGAAGCTTAAAAGCAAAGCGAAGTGGCGTAATCGACTGAGCCAACTGAATGTGATAAGGCATGACTAAGTATTTGTAATCATAAAACTAAGCTAAACATGTGATCAGCATAGTAAGCAGCATACGGACTCGAATAAAATCAACCAAGATATGAAAGAATAATTGACAGTGTGAAAAGAAATGTGAATATTGACTTGAGAAGAATGGGTTAATTAATTTCTCCGGAGGTTGTGACAATCCTTGTGGGCTCGACCTATTTGTACACACACTTCATGCTCAAACGGCTTTTCCACTGGCGTTAGGGGTCTGTAGAGAAATGTAAAGTTTTTTGAGCTGATCTTTTTAACTCCATTCTTTCATTTTCGGAAAGCAACATCAGCATAAATATTGGTTACTTGAAGGGAACATCTCACCACTGTCACATCCAAGTTTAGTTAGTAATGATAATTCAAGTCTTCGGTATTTAAGTTCTTATTATTTTCGAAATGAATTAGTTTTCTTTTTACCTACCATCTTGTTAGTTCCCTCAATCATTTTTCATTAGTGTAAACTTTGTGTCAATTTGTGCCTGTCTATAAATCTTCCTGCCATATTCCATGTTCACTGGTAACATGGTCATTAGGTAAAGATGTGTCCGGTTAAAATACGTTGTTTTCGCAACACTTTTGATAATATTGAGGATTAGTAAAGAATAACATTTACGAGTTTAATGTTAAAAAAGAATGATGAAAATCTAATATTTAATGTTGAATTCACTTAGTGTATGGGTTTTTTTTCGCAGTGTTTTTAGTCAGTTCTCATAACTATACTAAATAAGACAAGGTCTGTTGCAGGCATTATTTATTCATTCAACAGAGACTATTCCCACATGACTGAATTATTTCCCAAGCCATGTAAAATGGTTTTGTAAATTTATCCATAATTTTCATCATATTTATGTACAAGTATATCCAAAAGTTTGGTGAGGCAAAGTTGTTGTAACATAATAAATAATCTGAAAATAGATTAAATGATGTCGTTTTTTTTTACTCCTAGCTATTTGTATGACAATGAAATCTGGTTATATTCATAGTGTATTTTCACTGTGGCCTAGTTTAATTCAGTTCGTTTTTTTAAAAGAAAATAAAAATACTTTATCATTCATCAAAAAGTTTATTTTTATTCAGTATAAAACGGTGTATGACAGTTGTTGAATTTTATCTTACATGGAATTAACTTAAAAGTTGATCAACCATTGAAAATTCAGTCAGGAGAATATATATCTCACCAGTTAATTTTCAGAGTTAAACATATACTCTACTAAATGCTGATTATATAATTGGATAGTTAAACGTTTATTATAGAAATCTTGGATTTTGTCTTATGACTTATGTCGTGGGGATTGTACAAAATCAATGGATGCTTCTATGTTAAACTACAGTAACAACTTTTCAACAACTATGAAACATAGAGCGAATAATCACATCCAATCACATATTGCTATGCGTGATTGCCATTTACATCTCATGTGAATGAACACTGATAACAGTCGTTATTTTTAATATTCTTATTGACTTGGCAATGAAATTTAACATCGGAATCGTGAATCAATCATTGTTAGACCACCATTAGATACTTGGAGGCACTGGACGGCCGTTTTGTCCTAGTATGGGGACTCTTCATCAGTGCGTATCCACAACCACCACTTACGTGGATCGAACCAGAACCTTCATTTTCGCGCGGGACCGCTTAGCCTCTAGACCACTGGGCTTGCATTCATCTGTGTTAATGTCTAACTTTGATCAATCTGCAGATTTATCGTAACCTTTCCCATTGTCTTTACTGGTTACTTCCTACATCAGACTGCCTTGAACTGTACTGGTCACACTGCTTCTCAGTAGAACTCCGAGAATTTCCTCACAAAGTTAGTCACTAGTGATTAGTGTCTAACAATGATTGATTGATGATTTCAAATGTGTAAAAACACTAATCTTCATAATTCTAATTGATAATAACATTTTATTAAATGTGTTGCTTTGTTATTTCTTTTTTTCACTATTCTTTGTGCATATCTATTTTCATCATCTGATGTTTCCTTTTTTTATTTTCAAGTTACTGGTTGTACGTCCTGGTGATAAAAATGAACTATGGTTTCGACGTTTCATGGTTGAGGATCGATGCAGTAGTAATTCAATTTCATACACAGAATATCTATGTCATATTCATAAAGAAGTATCCAGTTTACTACATTGACATTCATCATGATGATAATGACGCTGATGCTGACACTGATGAGGATGAGGATGAGGATGTAAGCACCATCACTGTCAATTGATGATGGCCTAGATTGACTGATCATCTAGTTTAAACCGCTTACTTTTCATTTGATTTTATTCATTTTTGTTGAAAGCCAGAAAAAAAATTACTCTCTCTTTGTAGTAGAGTGATAATATTGCAGCATGCAATTCGCTCGGATGCCTTATTCTTTTCTTCTTTTGTGTTTGTTTCTGTTATTATTATTATTATTGTTATTATTACTGTTGAACAACTATTTGACGAATTATTTCATTTTATTAACCTTAAAATCAATTTCAATCTGGTGGTTTTGTTTATTCTTGCAAAATACCCTTTAAAACTATATTCTAATGAGTTGTTACTTGTTTTTTGTTTGTGTTTGTGCTTTGAAACGCCAACAATTCCCGGCTTCTGTATTAGTGATAGAGCTCGCGCATGTGTGTGTGTGTGTCTGACTGCTATTCGCAAACAACATGAAACCCCACCAGATTCGGTGTTTTTATTTTACTGTGTAACCCAAGGCTAGGTTTATTCACGTACGTACCTACATACATCAACACCATCACAGTTTAATACTTTTTGCTTCCATTCGTTTGTGATTTCTTTCTGCATTCATGCAATACAATTCTCTGTCGTGTTGGAGGATGGATAATTCAGTTGAAAAATAACACATCTATTGTGATTCGTTGAAATACATCAAACAGTATTATTTTTTCCCGTTTACACGCACAAGAGAGTACACATCATCATACCCACAAACCAACCGACCAACCAACCTCTTAACAAATACTAACGATCATCATCATCATTGTCTCATAGAACTTAGAGCACTAGGCATTTCTTCCTGTCTGATTCTGTTCTATGCCTTGTTCGCTCCATGTGTGTGTGTGTGTGTGCGTCTTCTGTTCACGCTGTGAAAAAAACGATTAAGTTTTGCTTAAAATCAGCTAAAATGTCAATGATATTGCTTATTATTGCGAATATGAGTAGTAGAAGTAGTAGCAGTTAGTGGATTATGAATATTTCTATTTCTACCCATCTATGTCTACGTTACTTTTCCCTTGGCTTTACCCATTTCAAAAACTAATCTAATTTGTGCTTTGATTTGTGATGTCGTGTATTATTACTGGATTTATTTAAATCTTTATTTCACTCATTCATATTTACAGAGATGCCATGGATAGACGTACAGACAGACAGTAGTGTGTTTGACTTTTGTTATTGGGTTATAATAATTGTTTTATGGTAATATTAATAATAATAATAATAATTTTCTGGTTTCTCTTTCTGTGTGTGCGTGTGTGCGTGTGTGCGTGTGTGTGTGTGTGGAATTTAACATTAATTAGCAGAATGAATCAATGAGACATTAACTTCTCGAACTAAATTCATTCATGTTACCTACTATTTCTATGCATATTGTGGTTTCGTTTCATTCTTTTTTTTTTTAAAAAAAGAAAACATCTTGTATTTTGAATTGATTATAAATTCCTTATTCTTATGTTCCAGTTCTACGGATTATTGGGATTCTGTATTTCCATTAATATACATATACATATATATATATATATATATATATATATATACATGTTCTGATGAATAAAAGTTTTATTGACCACTACTGGATGATGCAGGTGGTTTGTGTGTGTGTGTGTATTGCTGGAGGTTTTAACAAACAATAATAATATCAACCCTTATTATGAGTAGTTAGTTGTGTAAGAAGAATTATGGAAGGTGGTGGGCAATGAGATGTAGCCTGACTAGACAGATTGACAATTAATTTTGACTACAGCGGTAACAATAATCACATTCAAGTCAGACTAGATAAGACTGAATTTCACATTTTTGCTAAAAGGTATATTGTGTGTGTGTTACGGTGTAATTGAAAGTAGTCATTAGGGAACTATGTTCTATGTTGTTTTCATGATAACGGACACTAGTCAAAACAGGACACACCAGGAAACTTGAATGGATTGGTTGTTATGCTAATTAATAGTATTCGGTTGATATATTGTTTTTACAACCTTTGACTTTCTGTCATTGTGCTATGCCTAGTCTCTTTTTAAGCCTGAAACATTTACAATCGACTAGCAGTCACCGATTGATGACGATTGTTACATTTCCTTAATTATTCAAGTATTTACAGGGTCATGTTGTCAGTCTTGCCATTCTTGTTTAACTTTGTCGTAGACATCCTCTTAGAGTTAACATTAAGCTAGTCAGATTTCTCAGGGGTTGACCTTCTACCAGGAAAGTCGCTTACTGATCTAGAATATGCCGATGACATAGTTCTATTCGGTGAAGACGCTGAATCTTCGTAGTCTTCTGACTACTATAAGCAACAATGCGAGCATGTTCGGGATGCGGTTCTCACCCTCGAAATGCAAAATGTTGCTTCACGACTGGGTTACATCGGCACCTGAACTAGTGATAGGGAGTGAAGTAGTCGAGCGTGTTGATCGCTTCACTTATCTGTGGAGTCTCATCAGCGCTGATAGCCTGGTGACTGACGAAATCTCAGCTCGGATACAGAAGGCTCGATTGGCTTTTGTCAACCTGCGTCACTTATGGCGTAGGCGTGATATCCGTTCGCTAACCAAAGGACGAGTGTACTGTGCAGTAGTTCGCTCCATTCTCCTATATGGCTGTGAAACATGGCCGTCAAGATATGTTCGTAGGTTACTGGTATTCGATCATAGATGTTTAAGAAGCATTGCTCGTATATCGTGGGACAACCGAGTAAGCAATGCTGTCGTTAGGAAACGAGTAGTAGGTAAGGATGGCAGATCAATAGGTGGAGTATTGAAACTTCATCAGTTGAGGTGGTTGGAACATGTGTTACATATGCCTAGCCACCGACTGCCTCTACGTGTTATGTTTTGCAGTGTAGGAGTAGGTTAGAAGAAAGCTAGGGGCGGCCAGACCAAAACATGAAAGAAATCCATGAAGTCACTGACAAGTGGACTGAGTCATATTGGTAGATGTAGACTACCTGGTTGGGGTCCGCGAGACGAAAGTCACCGATGGTTAGAGACCCTGGGTGACATGGCCCAAATTAGTTTGCAGTGGTGCAAGTGCATCCATTCTTTGTGCTCTCTCAAATCCTAATCTTGTGGAATCGTCAGCACCTCTACCTTTGTCTTTCTAACCTTATCTCACTGAATTATACTTCTTGAATAATATCTTCGAACCCTATTCTTCTCCATTACCATTAATACCTCTACTATCTTTATCACTATGGGAATTGATTTGACATATGTGTCTCTGTGCTAATGTGGTATGGCTGACTGACAATCAGTCAGTCAGTCAGTTACAAGCGTAGAACTTCACATGTACGTACACAAATTCATGTTGCCACACCCCATATTAGCACAGATATGTAAATTATCCTATCGACCATCGCAACTGTTTCAGATTGACTAGTTTAACCTGTATCTATAATCCTATCAAAACCATTCAAATGATATTTTATTATAAATCTGATATCCACCCACCAATCAATTGTATTTCACCGTAGCTGATAAACTCTCATCTACGTTAAAAATCAACAAGCATTCTCATAATTGGTGATGATAGTAATAAAATTTATGTAAAAACTAAGTTTTACTTATACATAAAAGATTACTACACGATAACACAAAGAAAATACATTCATTATAATAACAGACAACATGACTGACAATAGTATGAGTAATAATAATAGTTAATAGTTCTAATGTGTTATATGTAAGTTTAAGAGGGCGAATAGCAGGACAGATGATAAATTATGTCTATCACTTAGGCGAATGAATAATTTTGCAGATGTGCACTTGTGTAGGTGCTTGCGTGCGGACGTGTCAGCGTGTGTGTGTTTTCACACATTGACACTGCAAACTAAGATGTTTTGTTTTTCACCTTATCAATTAGATGCATCTGACTAAAAGTATCTTTCCTCTGTGTTTTAATCTACTGTATGTGTATTTATATATACTACTTACAAGGTTAACTAATAATGATATTAGTTAGTTGGTTTTCATCAATAGCATATAAGTAGTTGATATTGTTAGGGAAATGAGAAAAGATGATGACTTCAATAAATGTGGAGCAGCATTACAATTATCTGTGCCACAAATGCATAATTCTGAATAGCCGCCTTCTGAAGGACGATTGACACATTTGAGCTCTTCTGGTTCAGCACCTTCGGTAGCACAGAAACGTTTCATCAATGTGACTTCTATAATAATAGTAATGATAATAATAATAATAATAGTAGAGGATCGATATCATTATTATTGAATAATCAGATTTCTAAGTCCAAAGATTATGGTGAATGAAGTATGAAAACTGAAGAACAATATTAAACTGAATCCTATTGATTATTTTATGCTAGAAGTTTTCTAAATACGTCGTGAGTATGAGCGTTGATTAGATTATTCTTACATTGTTGTTGACTACTACCAATCTGGGTTAGAGAATTCGGTGAAACAAGTTATGCTACTTATAAGTAGTACGTTGTGGTGAATTAAAGTTTTATTGGGTTACTGTAAAAACAACGGTCCCGACCTAGTATGCTTTCGCTCGGTAGTACGCATCCATGAGGCATAATTAGTATGGAATCAAATGCATTAATCATGATTTCTTACTTGAACCTGTGATTTCACTGTTATGTAGTCATCATAGAAGATAAGCATATTAGGTAACTGAATCGGGTGATTAGTATTATCAGATCAAGCATAGTATGAGATGTTCATATCGTCTATTGTGCGATTTATGATTCTTCATATTTTGACTTGTTCAACAATGTTTAAATCATAATTTTACAATGTCTGTATATGCTCCGTGGCTCAATGGGTAACTTGATAATCTTTTAAAACAAAAGATACTGGGTTCTAGTCTCGGTGTCAACATCGACTCCGGGGTCAGTAATTTATCTAACTATCACGCCTTCTAGCCTAGAAGTGAACGGTGAACTCATGTTCAGTTTTTAGGGTTATCTTGAAGTTTTTGGACATTTGAACTTCATTATTGGTGACGGCGAGTGTTTAGATATTTTCGTGAAACTACGATATTTGTACTTTAAGAAATACACAAAAATGCAACAATTTAAGTGAATTCGTTTTGTGAAATACTAGTTGGTTGGCAATAGTCGTCAGGATACTCTGTTTCGCAGCAATTGACTGATATTCAATGCTTGTCAGACAGGTGTACGTAGGATCTTTTAGGAAGCGTTACTTTGTGGGATTTGAACGCGTATCACACAGCTTCATCTAGTGAAAGTTTTATTTTCTAATGACATGACTTACTGTTCAGGAAAAAGAAATGCGCTATAGACTACACAAATCAGTCGACGTAAAATCTGGTTTGCGAGCTGAAATTTGAGAGGCATATTTTGTCTTATTTGACACTTTCCATTTGGATATACTTACGTTCCAGCCGTGAGATATTTACATTGAGACTTCAATCGATCACCTTTCACTTCAAACACACAACACATCATCCACTGAAATCCTGCATGTCCGATTGACCATTAATTTGTTCAATGCATATTGCAGTTTAGTTTTCTGTTGATGATATTCAGAAATGCAGTTGATCAGTCTACGTTATCATATGTGCATTCTAGTCTTAAAGCAGATATGCTAAATCTTGTGACATAGTTCTAAATCGAGACAATACACAACACAAACTAATCAGCTGTATACTCTGAAATAGTATGGTTAAAGTTATGATGAAAATTTTACAGAAAATAACTTTTAAAATCAAGTTTTTTCAATGCCCACCTTTAATTCGACCTTTTGCAACAGGTTCTTTCAAATAAGTGGTCAGTTTAGCACATCCACGTGGTGTATTCTGAGCATTTATAATACTGGTAGAGAAAGAAGATACAGAGAAGAACAGAGCAACATTAATTGATTTACATAGACAGTCATGTTTTTTCAAAGCGATGAATTCAATATATTTTTTCTATTGATAATTTTGATAAACCTATTTGACTACTAACAGCTAACTGGTTTTTATTTTGATTGATTCCAAAAATTGACTATAACTGGTGGTCTGCTGAAAAGTTCAGTATTGCTCAATCAATTCGAAACGCCTCAGTAGTGTGTACGCATAAATATATATATTGTGGTTCAAGTTAAAGCGTGTTACTTCCAAACTTCCAAGTCATTTCATAGTTATCACTAGTAAGTGTTGTTAGTTTTAAAACCAAGAAGCATAGGATAGGTATTTTGTTTAGGCATAGAATTCATTGATATATTGCATTAGTCAGTAGTTTCAGGCGGTAATTCTTGGAGTGCTAGTGAAAAGCAGTGTCCAGTGAGCACATCCATATATGTAGTGTGGTGTTTATGTTAGGATATTCATCCAATATCCTAAGAGGATTATTGGTCAATTCCTATTGGTTTATTCCAACTGGTCAATTTTATGGTCGTCCTAGATATCAGTGTCACGTGCTCCAATGTTGTTCCTTATTGCTTGTCCTGACTATCAATGTCACTCCAAATGTTGCTTCCTATTGGTCGTCTTAACTGTCAATGCCACGGACTTCAATGCTGTTTCCTATTCAACCAAAATGTATAAATACGCATTATCTGTAAACTTTTATGACCAGGACAAGGATCCGGTCCCGGATCCCTAGCACGGGGTCCTGATTCTCTTCTGGGTTCGGACCTCGTACTTTCTGAATGCTTGTAGAATACAGGTCCTACTTCATTTCATGTCTTCTTATTTTTATTCAATATGGGTTTTGAGTAGCATGTCGTGTCGCCGGATTCTCGATCCTCGCTCTCATTTTCCGACTAGGTGAACTCGTAATGTAGTGAACGAGAACACGGGTGGGGCAACCGGACTGTATTAACCAAAATTACAGAGTTACTCAGTAAAATCGGAAAACCATATCGTAAATCGTTAATTTGCAAAATATCAGTCCATCAGGTCGAACTGGACTGTTCCTGTTGCAAAACATCAATCCATCGTCACTATTCATGCGTTTCATACGAATTCCATTGTGTTCCCACTCTTCCTTTCTTTATCTTCCCCCATCTTCTGGTGCCAGACATTACGTTGACACTGACGTCATATACTACTTATAAGTAGCTCGCACCACAGTAATAGTTCAAGCATACCAAGTTGACGTGTTTACGTGCAGGCGTAACAGTTTACTAACCTACAGCACTCGAAGTTAATGTAGCATTAACAAGGATCGATTAAAATCATAAATATAAATAACTGAATAGCGATTCAGTGTTCCGAATGTCGTGGCCTGATCGAGACGTGAAGATTTTTTAACTTAATGTCAGATGAAGTCTTAGATCCTTATCAATCCTATGTTTCGTTTGGCTACGAATGGTCGTTTAACTAAGGTCAGTTCATGATTTGAACTATGACGATTGAATAAATTTTTAGACTCTCCAGTTACATTATTTAACCAATGATGAGTTCAGTGGTGTAATCGGCAGACCAGGATTAGTGTTTACTGTGTGTCATTCAGCTTGTATACACAAACATATACAAATCAATGGTTTTTCGCCACTGTTTTTAAAATAAATGAAACAAAGTTTTATTTTGTGAATCACGATTGAATGATAACTGGTCTCCCCAATAGAAGAATATCACTGATTATCTATCACATGACCATTATTATCACACTCACCATGGTTTAAAGAATAATTCCGGTTCATCCAAACACCTACGACGGTACATATCAGTTTCAACGAAACTTTTCGATTTATCCGCTTCTAATTTCATTTCACATTGTGCACAACTGATATTTTTTGCTGGTGTAAAAGCTTTCGGATAGAAAAAAAAAATAGATCAGCAATAAATAAAATAAATTTTTTGCAAATCAATTCAACTATCAGTGCATATGTATTTAGTGAGGATCAATTGATTCTTATTGCTTTATCCATTCATATTGATTACCGTTTGTTTTTTTGTTTGTTCAAAGACCTGAGTGGAGGGGAGAGATTATTTTCTTGACTAATTAAAATAAACTAAAAGACTTGAAAATTGTCGAACATTGAACAACTATTTCCAATTGATTTGAAGCATTTTAACAGGGAAGATTATCGATTTTTTCTAGCAGTAGACTGTGGAAGTACTGTAGACTGTGGAAGTACTTGAGAACATATTACTAGTTTTGTATGGCAGATCAATAGATTAAATAGTGAATCTTCATCACTTGATGCGGTTAGGACATGTGTTATGAATGCCCAACCGCCGACTACCTCGATGAGCAATGTTTTGTGTTGTAGGAGCAGGTTGGAAGAAATCTACGGGCGCCCAAACCAAAACATGGCACAAATCCATGAAGTCACAGACAACTGGACTGAGCCATGTTAGTAAATGTAGACTACATGGTTGGGGTGCGCGACATGATTGTAACTGAGGGTTAGGGACCTTGAGTGACATAGCTCAAAATCGTTTGCAGTGGCACAGGTGCATACATTCTTTGTGTTCTCCGAAATTCTAATCTGAATTCCTCATCACTTTCTCTTCCCATAATTATTTCTCTGGATTATACATCTCAAATAATATTTCCTAACCCCAATATTTCCATTACCTCTACCGCCGATTGTGGTGTTTGAATTGAAAATTGTATGTGGTACGTGGCATGTTAACTTGAACTGATGTACGTACGTATGAAGTTCTACGTTGCAGCCAACTGGCTGACTAACCTTTGTATCATTGGACTGAATGAAAAGAGTTTATGATTTCATTTGCAATAGAGCTAAGATCACTAAGTAGAATTTACAATTAAATTTTCCACACTTTTATCTAAAATGTAGGTAACGCATTTCAAAGTTATTTACATAGAGTTTCAGTTGATTTAAGGGATTTGTAAACATGGTTTTTCAATTGATTTCAATTGATCGAGTAGTGGGTAGTAGTTAATGTCACATTTATTTAATCCCTAATTGTTAATATTGATTAAATTCTATCCATTAAATTATGAATGATTTAAATAGATCGTTTGATCTCCCCGAACTGAAATCGCTAGGGAAGAATGATTGGATGTCAGTCAGTTCTACTTTTTGTTTATAGAATAATGTGTACTTGACCTTATTTAATAAAATGACAGCAGCAATAATTAGTCAGCAGTAAATAGGCTGTTCAATAACAACAACATTCTCAATTCTAAAAAACAATTCTGCTTATATCAAGTAGCGTAATTATTTTTGGTTAAACATCATTTCCTACTTTAGATGTTTCATAAAGTTATTTTAATAATCTGAATTGAAAAATTATTATATTAGAATGTGGATACTACTACTACTACTACTATGGTGTGAGCTACTTATTAGTAGTATATGACGTGAGTGTCAACGTAATGTCTGGCACCAGAAGATGGGGGAAGATCAAGAAAGGAAGAGTTAGAAAACAATGGAATTTGTATGAAACGAATGAACAGTGACAATGGATTAGTGTTTTGCAACAGGAACAGTCCAGTTCGATATGAACTGATATTTTTCAAATTAACGATTTACGATATGGTTTTCCTATTTTACTGAGTAACTCTGTAATTTTCATTACATACAATTCGGTTGCCACACCTGTGTTCTCGTTCACTACACTACTATTTCTACTACTACTACTACTCACACTACTACTACTATTACTACTACTACGAGTAATAATAATAATAATAATAATAATAACCGTCAATGACTTCTTTTGACTAGAAAATATTGACTTGTAATCTGTATAGAAATTTAGTAGAATATATATCGTCAATTGGCCAAATTTAAAGACATGTGCATCATTAGATGCCGGGTAAATGGTTTGAAGGTTAGTGTAGTGCGTGGGCATGAAGGTCTAAGGTTCGATTCGTGATCTTTCAGTGCTTTTAAGTTTTTATTAGTGGTCTAGTTGCGGTCATTTTATGATTGAAATTAGAAAAATTGTGAAAGATTAAATGTTTAAATAAACAGTGATCAAGTAATGCTATTGTAATTACATATGAACACTGATGACGAAATCTAGGCATGGATTCAGGTAGTTTAGGAGATTTTAGTGAACCTGTGTCATCTATGGTGAAGGCATGGTATATAAATGTATGTCACACAAAAGTTCATTCTTTTTTACTCTGTGTCTGTAGAATTTATTTTTAACAATGAAAGATTTTTGTAGTTTACTGATACTAAACAGCAGATGTCTTTTCAATGTTATCCAGTTTGCTGTAACCATCGATTTCAAGATAAGATCAAGGGTACTTAGTGGAGATGTTGATAAGATGATCGATTTTTGAATGAAGTGTTTGAAACATATTTTTTATGCTCAATCACCGCCTACTTCGATATATGCATTGTCTCATGTGGGGCTAAGTTGGAAGGAGGTCACTGATAGCTGAACTGAGCTGAAACATAGGTTTAAGAAGTCATCGATCGTGGGACTGGGCCGCGAATTTGGGCGTAGACCGCTTGTTCTGAACATAATATCCCATTTTCCAGAACCTCTTGAAGAGTGAGTAGTTGGTCTATGCATCCACGTCCATGTCTGAAACCAGCTGGTTTTTTCAAGTTTGTTCGTCGTGAGCTTTATTTAGGCGGAGAAATATTATTGGGACTAATATTATAGGCATTATATGTTAATTAAACTGTTATTGTTACAAGAGTATTTTTGTCCATTTTTATAGACAGGGACGATCAGCAATCAAAACTAGTGAAAATTATATTACGTCCATCCAACATCTCAGTTAATCCATCCGCTAGAACTGGGGCACCATCCTGAAAATTTTCAGGCTCTCCTTCGCTTTAGATTGCTTATAGCTTTTCCAACTTCACTAAGAGTTGAAGAACCTGAATTAGTTATCCCAACTCATATGTTGTGCCATCTCAGCATAGAAAAAATAACTTAACAAAAAAGAGTTTTACTTAACCAGAAAAGAAATTCAAACATGTGAATTATAATATTTGAGCCATTTCAGTCTTATCAAATAGAGGTACCTGTGTACCAATATTGATTCGCTAACTGAGACTTCAATTCAATACGCTTTATCCAGCAAACTTTTGAGTCTAGATGGAATATATATGTCATATAAAGTGTTTGTAATATTTCATTGCTTATATGATGAACTTCAAACTACATTGTTTTGTTCTTTTATGCACATTCGAGCATAACGGATGATCGAAATGCCATACTGTCGCTGACAGTTTACTTAGGATGCACATGTGTCAACAGAGGCTGATTAATTACAGTTTATGAGTATATCAACAATGAGAAATCCAAAAACCCTAACCCTAATATCAAAAACTTACAATCTAAAAGGAACAAATAAAACTGAGAAATTAAAAAATACCAAGTTTTAGATTAAGTTAGAGTATCATAGTACATATGCCATGATGATAATCGGTTCGTTTCATATGATATATATATATATATATATATATATATATATATATTACTTAGAAATCTAACAGTATAAATCATATTTTACACATCCTGAACAAAATACAAGTTATCAGTTAATCTTTAAGCATTAATGTAGCACAATTGATTTCAAAATAAATAAAATTGTTTTTGAACACACTAGAAAAATAACAACAATTAACAAACAAATTCATTTTCTCTGATGTTTTTATTTTCAGACTACAAATTACTTAAATAAAAGGATTAAATTTCGTCAACAAGCTAGAAATTCATTAAAAGAAGCTCAGTCAATTAACTACTCGTTTATGTTGTTAATATTAACAAGTTTTGTAATAAATATGAGGTTGATATTTTGCCTGAAAAATTAATTACGATTACAATTTAGCACGTCTCCTAATATCCATAATGTTCATTGATTGATAAGTTTCCGTTTGGCGTGACCTTGAAATCTATCGATTTTTATTTGTTTGTATTAACCATTAATATGACATAGGCGTGTAAACTAATTAATGAATAAATATTTATTTGAATTAATCGATAAAATATCAAGGTGGTAGTAGTAGTAGTACTAATAAAGATTATCATTATTATTATCTGATATATGTACATATTAATAAAAATCACAATGTTTTATACTTGATAATTTAACGTCACGTAATGGGACAGATGATATATATATAAACAACTGTTATGTTTTGATAACACTGATCCAGTACATTTTACAAAGCATAAACAGAGATGATATTTTGTTGATTCAGTAATAATAATACTAAGTGAAGATCGAAAGACAATAGAAATATGTTTTGCATTAAAGTATTATGGAGTAGATAGTTTTACCTTGTAATCATGACGTGACCAGTGAAGATCAGCCCTGTCGGGTGTGGGCAGTAAATACCGAGGACAATGGGTAAAGTTGAGCAAAATCCTCAGATTGGATGCTGCCGGCTCAGGCTAAGAGATTGATTGCACGCGCGCAATATCCTGGGTTTGAATCCTGCGAGTAGCAGGAGTCGTCGACACGCACTGCTGATGAGTCATTTACCAGGACGAAACGTGCATCTTTCAGTGCTTTCAGGTTTATAATGGCGGTCTAAAAATGGTTCATTCATGATTTCAAGATGGAAATACCTTTCTCAACGTTATTATGGTTAGAAGTATTGTTTGGTAATGTAGCATTAGGTAAAATTTTCGAAAATGATGACTGATAATGTAAAGTAGTTTCAATTAGAGATTTAGAGAGGTAGTGTAGTCAAGTTATTTTTGTAATTATCTATCATGGAAGTCTTATCATCATTGCTGATGGCCTGGTGTGTGAAGTAATCCCAGCATGGATACAGAAGACTCTGTTGGCTTTTATCAGCTTGTGCCATTTATGGAGTAGGCAAGATATCCGTCTACCGACCAAATAACGGTCTTACTGTGGAGCAGTTCTCTCCATCCTACTATATGGCTGTCAAACATGTCCTGTGGGAGTAGAAGATATTCATAGGCTACTGGTTTTCGATCATATGTGTCATCGAAGCCTTGCTCGTGTATCTTGGGACAATCGAGTAAGTAAAGCGTTTGTTAGGAAACTAGTACTAGGCAGGGATGGCAGACCAATAGTTGAAGTATTGAAACTTCATCAGTTGAGGTGGTTGGAACATTGGGTTTGAATCTCACTAAGGCTGTCGTGATTAAGAATGCCAAAACATCGATTGCCTAGTCGAGCTATGTTTTATGGTGTAGTGGAAGGCTGGAAGAAAGCTAGCAGCGGCCAGACGAACAAAATGGCACAAATCCATGAAGTCACTGACATGTGGACTGACTCACGTTGGTAGGTGTAGACTACGTGGTTGGGGTCCACGAAACAATACTAACCGATGGTTAGAGACCTTGAACGACATGGCTCAAAATCCTTTGCCTCGGCACGAGTTCATCCATTCTTTGTCTTCTCTCAAATCCTAACCTTCTGAATTCCTTATTGCCTCTATCTTTCTTTTCTCAAATTTATTTCACTGACTTATACTTCTAGCATAATATATTCGATCCCTAATCTTCTCCATTACTACTAGTATTTATACTACCTCTACCAATCATTGTGGGGGTTTGAATCGAAAATCGCATCACTGTGCGAATGTGTTATGTCGACTTGAACTGATGTACGAAGTAGGTACGAAGTTCTATGTCAAACGTTTTTTGCCAAGATGAGTCTGTACGATCACCATATTTCAGTATTGAGCATTGTTGGAATAGGTAATAAATACATACAACGAAAAATATTAGTGGAATGAGTCTTTTTAAGCATGTGTTAAAATCTTTCTTGTCGGCTAAAAAGATAATATATTCAGCTCTTATAAATTACAAAATGTATATCATTCATTAAGACGGCACCATTGTGAATTGATATAATTTATTAGAAGATACACATTATATCAATCTTTCCGGTTAAAAAATGAAAATAGAACAAGTAAGGATTTCTCATCAGAGTATTATGGAAATGGAAGTTTTATTTTGAAACCATGTATGAATCATTGTTAGACACACTTTTCAAACCTGAAAGCATTGGACAACCGTTTCATACTGGTATGGGACAACTCATCAGAAGTGCTTATCCACGACTCCTGCTACTCACGGGATTCGAACCTAGGAACTTTGGTCTAACGTGCGATCGCCTAAAGTCCAGACCACTGGGCCAGCAGCCAATGGTGTCAATATCTTAATCGGATCAGTCTACGGATTTTGTGAGGTTTACAATGCATGCAAGACAGTCAGTCAGTCAGATACAACGTAGAACTCCGTACGTAAGTACTTCAGTTCATCTTGCCATACCACAACATTAGCGCAGAGATGTAATTGTAAATTCTACTATTAGATTTGAATTGACAATTACATCTCTGTGCTAATGTTGTGGTATGGCAACATGAACTGATGTACTTACCTACGAAGTTCTACGTTGCGTCTGACTCCATGCAAGACGGTAGGGGTTGACTGTGTACTATTATGTGTCAAATATAATTATACTCTTCACTATTACCTTATAATGACCTTATAATATATTTACATCGTAGAAGCTGGTATGTACGTATATCAGTTCAAGTCACCGCCATACAACATTAACACAAACAGATAGAATAGTCTATTCATATCCCATAGTATTAGTTGTAGAGTTAGTAGAAGTAATAGCAGTAATGGAGACGATACAGAAAATTGCATTCTCTGAATTACAAACTAAGCATATAAAAGAAAGTTACTTCATTTCAATTTTATTAGTGATAACCATTTCAACAAATAATAGGTTGAATATATGCATATATCGATCAAAACCTTTCTAGTTTCAATTTTCATTTGACTGTAACAGTTTATCGAAAACAAAAATTAACATCTACTCTTATCCTACAAATGACCCAAATTTTCCAACCAGTCCCTCAAGATTAAAATCAATAACAAAAAAAATGAACAGTACCGAGATTGTGATTGATTCCGTTTTTTGTTGACTTATTCAAAATAATGCCATTTGTAATTTAATATGCAAAATTGTTTGTTTAAAACAATGAATTTCATTACTAATTAATTTGTGTTATTCGTATTCATTATGTTAATGATAAAAGTAATTATATTCATTTCACACTTAAGGATTTGAACAAAAAGGATGTAACTGACAAAGCTACTACTGAAATAATGACAAGATATCAATAGTATATTTGAACAGATTGCAATGAATGAGGTGTTTACTAATATCAAGGTCCTTACTATGAAAGAGGGAATTTTTCCCTGCAACAATAATCTCAAATTATAAATTGAAATGAGAACTGTTCAACGTTAAACAAGGGAATTGTTGTAAATGGATAGATGCTTATTGTACAACACATATACTGAATGAGATGATTCTTAGTAATGTTAAGAGAACATACAATATTGATTAGATGATATGTGATAGATTTATTTAAATGCTTTGGAAATATTGTACATAATACCTCTGAGCTTTATGTTCAAAAGCAATTAACAAGAGGACACTGAATATAAAATCAGTATGATAATATCCAGGAAGTGATTGAATAAGAAAAAAGTTAATGTGGAAGGAACAAGAAGAATCAGCTCATTCCTTGGAAAGATAGCGTACTCTCACTTCTTCCGGTTTACGTTTTGTGACACCTAAGAACGATAATCGCACTGTTTACGCTTTTCCTAATCGTTCTGAGAACTGGAACATAATGAATAAGTTCAAGGCTGTTGGTGTACCAGACTGTTTCTTTTAGCGGTCCTATTAACTACATAATCACTATCCTAGCCGGATAATGTCTATTTCAATTCACTTTCAAACTGAATGAATTGATTTCTATGAAGCTGGACATTTTCTAAGGAATACTGGATGTTCAAGAAGTGTGTGTTATCATGAAGTCAGTTGAGAGTAAATAGAACTTAATGATGCATTAATAGTGGTAAAAATAACTCAGTAGTAAAGATTTCATTGTGTACTATTTATTTCTTGTTTAAATTATAAACACTAGATGGCTGTTTAGATCTTGTTAGATAGTTCAGTCACAGCGGTGTTGAGTAAGTACTTACTGTTCAGGAGTTTTATTCTAAGACGTTGGGGGTTGATCTCTTTGTTAATTTTCAAAGATATACCTTTGACCTAGTAAATGTTTTGTAACAATTTCACATTAAATGTTCAATAGTTCAACTATTTGGATAGTGTATTCATTATGTTTGGACAACAGAACTGTTACAATACTGGATATTTAGATGGAAAAAGTTACTGATATAATTAAGCAATAAGAATAATCGAGATGATGACATGACGCAGATAAAGCGTTTGCACTGCATAATGTAAGATCGACTTTCTGTGGAGAATGTCATGAAAAAGTACTACTGCGTAGCTCTAAATTAGGATGAATTATCTGTCCAATGCTTCCTAGTTTCAAGTAGTAGTCTAACTAAGATTAGTTCGTGATTTGAAAAACACTTTTGAAATGAAAACCGAATTGAATGATTCAGTTTGATGAGGGAAAAACTAATGGAAAGACAAGTTTTGTTCTGTAGATGCTTATCGATGTTTGTTAATGTGTACTTTCTAATTTCTGCAATAAATTTTATAGAACTTTTGTGATATTTTAATCATTACAGTCAGCAATGGATTGAATCGTATTCTTTGTACAAATGATTACTACAAATCAAGGCTTAAAAATGCTTAAACTGTTTAAGTACTAGCGTCAACTTGTTTAAATAATGAATTCTCTTCAGAATAATTAATCTACAATACTTAATAGCATATCAGTAACGCATAATGTGATTGGATTTATCTTTGAATGTTCAGTTTTATCCACCTTTCCCTTTCATCTAGTGGGTGAGTTCAGCATATCAGAATGAAAAATTTCATTTCAAAGCCCAACTTTCAGCATATTTATATCTTTCAGTTGACATGTCTGCGGCTGTGGGCTATACTGACATGTTTATCATATCAGGCAGTTGTAGAAAACACTAGAGGCTTACAATGAAATCCTTAGTGAAAAGTAGACCAGCATAGTTATACATTATATAGTTTATTCCAAATAATCAATACTAATTTTCATAATGAAATGACTAATACTTACTTCTTTGATATGGTGTAAGTGGTCGTGCTGAATAAATGCAGCTTATACAAACGATCCATAAAAGATATATACAAGCTGGGATTCGATTCATGATATTTCAACTGCGAAATAAGCAAAGAGACTGGGGTAAAACACGTGTCTAAACAAAAATTATACGTGTTTAGACTTGGTGGAAATATATGTTGTATATAACATACGGGATAAATTACTTTCTCATTATTATTGGTTGTTTAGCTTAGTTTGACCTTAAACGATCGATAGTGTTTGATTTTTTGATTGGTTAATCGGTAAAGTTATCTCCCAATTTTTGTAGATTATGTTTTCTGTTTTCTGATGGATTTAATAATTCTAAAATTTGACAAATTAAAAATCAATAAAAAAAATTGTAGAAAGGAGTAGTGGTGTCACTGGTATATTTATTTCTGAGATGATATTATTTCAAACTCAAACAGTGTAAATGGTTGATACCAGCTGTCAACCTTGACTAAAGTTATATGATATGAAGTTATACTGTGTAATATTTTTCACATTCTTCTTAATTACTATTTAAATTGTCTGTTATTATGCTACTCTGAAACTACTTAGGGTGGACGATATTAAAGTATAGAGAGATGCATACGACAATAGTGAAAAGCCTATTTGACATTTGTTTTAACTATAAAGATTAATATCGCGGTGGCCATGCGATATTTTCCAGTATTAAGTATACTGTTCGTTCTGACAATCGTTACTTTAAAACTTCAGTCGTTGCCATAATTAACTGGATTATTATATATATATATATATATATATATATATATATATATATATATATATATATATAATAGGTAATATATATATATACATATAGTAATATATAATGATTGATACATTTATCGAACTTGTTACAAGTATAATACCTTTGAAATCATCAATCAATCAGTGTTAGACCAACATTAGAAACCTTGAAGCACTAGACGGTCGTTTCGCCCTGGTATGGGACTCATCAGCAGTGAGCATCCAAGACTCCTGTACCTCGCAGGATTCGAACCCGGGACCTTCGGTATTGTGCGCGAACGCCCAAACTCTGGACCGCTGGGCCGGCATCCAACGGTGTTAATGTCTAACTTTGATTGATCTACGGATTTTACGCGACCTCACCTATTTGTCTTTCGTAGTTACGGCCTACACCCGATAGGGTTGAACTCCATTGGTCACGTCTTCTCAACCAGAACTCCGAGAATTTCCTCGAGAAGCTAGTCACTAGTGAGCACTGTTAAGATATTTTCGAGCAGAGTTTTGGAGGTTTGTGTTTTTACACATTTGAAATCATCAACCAATCAATAATAGTAATAACTAGCCTTGTTTATAGTTCCTGACTCATGTGTTAACAGATACACACTGTCTGTCTCTATGAACTCAACCAATAACCAAATCTTGTTGTTCCTTCTCTATTGAAGAAGACGCAGTAATGTTCAGCGGATGAAAAGATCGCAGTGTAAAAGAGTCACATTTATTCCCAAATGTATGTATCCGAATTTGATGGAGAGGCACTTATAATCTATGGGATTTTAGCTTACATCACTCAACGTTAAATCAACAAGATATTACCAATTAACGTTTTAGCGTAGTTGAAAAACATGTAGACAAATTGAAGACTGTAGATATAGACATATCTTGATAAGTATAGTGTTAGTAAATTTTGGCGAAATTATTTCTCCAGTATGATTATTGACAAAACCCATTTAATCAATAAATCAGTATAACTATACTTTTGATTTCTTCAATAAAGACATTTACATGCAAATATTTTGGCAGTTAGTCAATATATAATGAAATCAGTTTGTTTGCGAATCCAAACGAACGGTTTTTTTTTAAAAATCTTCATTCAACGAACAGATATTTTTTAATGAAATCATGAATGGATCACTCTGGAAGCATTGGACAGTCATTTCGTCCTAGTATGTGACTCATCAGCAGTGCACATCCACAATTTCACAAACAAGAATCTAAACCCTACAAGACCTTCATTCTTGCATGCGAATGCTTAACTTCCAGACATTGATCAATGCATGATTGCAATGAAACTCAACAATTTCCACAAGCTCATAATAATAAAACCTGTTTGTTTGATTGAATGGTAGAATTTTGAAATAAGATATATTTGATAGAACATCAATTCAGAATTACAATATAACTGATTGGAAATGAAGTCAAAATTTTTGTTGTTTATAATAGTTTAGTATATATCAGATAAAAAAATTAGATACTTAGGTTTAGGGTTGTAGATTAGTTTGATTCGAACTAACAATGATATCTCGTTTTCTAGTGATAATGAGGATAATGACTACATTAGGGGTTGTCAACCTTCACACTCAAGTGATGATGATTATCTTTAGAAATCGGACTTTTTTTCGAAAAGATTTATTGCATTACTGGGTTGTGAAGATTGTTAAGTTACACATTTGAAATCATGAATCGATCAATGTTAGACCACCAGTGGAAACCTGGAATCAATGGACGGCCGTTTCGTCCTGGTATGGAACTCATCAGCAGTGCGCATCCACAACTCCTGCTACTCACAGGATTCGAACCCAGGACCTTCGGTCGTGAGCGCGAACGCCTAACCTCTGGAACGCAGGGCCGATATCTGATGGTATTATTGTCTAACTTTGATCAGTTCACGGTCTTGAGAAGCCTCATACACTCTCTCCGGTAGTTACTGTCTACACCCAAACAGGTTGAACTTCACTGGTCACGACTTCCCACTAGAACTCGGAGAGGATTCCTCACAGAGCTGGTCACTATCCCCTGTTTGGAAATCTAAGTTTCCCTATTTTAGTCACTTTCTTTAAGCAGTGTTTCTCATACTTGATAATCCAATATAACAACATGATTTCCAGATTAATTGCGTCTTCCTTATATTTAACAATTCAATTATTTTAAATTTAACATTATCGTAATATGAACAGAATTATTAACCGGTTAGTTTAAATTCAGTGGTACCAGGCTATCTCTGAAGGTTATGCATTAAATAATGTTTGTTACATTCGGTGCTATACCGAGATAACCAGCTTTACATCGATACTTCAACAAGTGTTAGTCACTCACAGAAAATAACTCATTCCGATAAATTACCTATGTGTAATCTAAAACTTTATTACGATTCTTGCTTTTTTGTGAAAGTTAATGCAGAATATGCAGTTGCACACTGTTGTTCAGCTGAATGATTATAATCTCAGAGAGAAGAGGTAGAGAGTTTCTAAATTTTTCAAACGCTTGTTCTCATCGTTATCATTTACCTACACGATCATATCAGTTGTAGGATTTGCACTTTACAAATTCAAGAATAATTTAATTTTTTCACTGTGTATATTATTTTTGGATAATTTTTGATTTAAAAAGAAAATTCGTCAAAAAAATTTAAAACAATCATCATGATAATGAACTGACTAAAAATACAACTGAAACAACGCCCAGTCGTCAATGCTAAAATTGGTTAATCAATTGGGATTTGCATTTTTAATATGTGGCTTACTTATGTAAAAGTCAACTAAACCGGATTTCTCTAGTTATCGATTGATAACTGATGCACAGACATGTTGTTATTGATTTGTGAATGTCTGCCTAACAGTATCTAAGTAACAAAATACGTCAGGTTGCTTGATTCTGGGGTGAGTAGTGATAATTGAACAAACAGGATGTTCTTTTTAAAATAGATTTATACTACTTATATACATTGAAAGTAGCACCATAATAAATAAAGAATTACTGTACAAGATGGAGGGAGTCTTCTTTTCAGAAATTTAAAACAATTAGTCCCTTTTATAAGTTTAGATAGAACAGTGAGGAGACGTAATTGACCAATTACGCCTTCTCACTGTTCTATCAAAAATTACTATACACCGATAGCTTTCGGAGGCGAATTAATGTTGATTCGAAATTATGAAATGAGTTCGCAAAGTGAGTCTCAAATCTTGAATGAGACAGCTACCTCTACTCCAAAAAAGTAGCATTTATAGAATATGAAAGTAGTAATTTACACAGAACAGATAATAGTTAATTTAGAAACAATCGTATGGAAATCACAATGGGGTATTTCGGATAATATGCTTAGAATTGTTATTGTATTTAACTAGTGCTTACCTTGTCGACTGTTACAATGGAATATTACTCACCATTTCGATTTTATACATCATGTCTACATTTAGTAGTTATCTTACAGATGATTGAGGTAACTCATTAAATATATATCGGTCTATAAATGCGAATGTATAGGTTATGTAGATGATTTTTTGTGGTTGCGTTAGGTTCGAAGGAGATCTCACCATATTAGTAGCCCGTCAGCTGACTCTTTCATTTATAAACAGTCAAATATGCTATTTTTTCGCATATCATACTTAGGCGAATTTCGTTCATGCGATGACGGTAATTAGCAGCCAGTTACGGATTCGGTCGGTTAAGTTTATTTCAGGCAATTGTTCATGCAAATATTTAAGAAGGCAGACGAGAATGAAAAGCATACAAGCAAAGCGTAGCGAAGTGGAGGAAATGAGTGAGCCAACTCAATGCCGTAGAGCATAGAGTAAGTATACGATGCACACATATAGTAGAATAGAAACAACCAAGATAAAAGCGAATAGTTGACAAGGTCAAAATACAAGAGAATAGTAACTCGGGTAGAGTGGATTAGTTAATTTGTCCGTAGACTTGTGGCAAGCCCTGTGAGTTCGAAGTAAAAGTACACGCACTGCAAACCCTACCTGTAGAAAACTGTACCTTAATTTGAAAAATGTCAGTTTTCTAAAATAACGAATAGACTTACGGTTAAGCAGAGAAAATATATATATGTATACTATTTCGGATAGAGTACAGGGATAGATGACGGGAGAGTGTGACACTTACAAGAGACATGAAGAACGAATAGCTAAGTGTGAACATATTTTAACAGGCCGCAGTAAAGTTAAGCATCGATCAGTGACTAATGATTTCGCATTGAAATAACATGGAGTTTCCGTACGTAGGATAAGGATAATCGAACCGTAAAATGACAGCTGCATTGTGGTTGAGATTCATTGTTTTGCTGCAATTAATAAAAATCACAAAATAATTAGTCGGTGTTCGTGGTTGCTGATGACCAGATGCATCGAGTTATCGTTGAATATAAATTTGTAGAATGACGAAGCGAACAAAATAATGATTGTGGAGACAAGAAACATAA